AGAATCTTCAAAGAATATAGCTTATGAACTTTGTCAGGTTGGAACTTGCGTGGCTGGCACTGAATTAAAATTGTAATTTAATAAAAAGCACCAACCACCTGGAAGTGGGTGCTTTTTAGAGGTTGCAACCTTAAATTTTTTTGCGGGTTAGAACTAAAAAAGCAAAGAGGTCATCATCAAGAAAAATGACGCAACAAATATCGTGCACATAACAAACTTTAAGTTACTTCAATTGGTTAAAATCATGCATTTGTTTCAGTGCGATGTCCAAGTTTTCAAACGTGCAAACGTGTAATGAGATCGTTTAAAAAAGGTTACTGCAAAAGGAAAATCGAATTTAAACGAAACGTGCAGAGGTAAATGATATGGTTGGTAAAAGATATGAGGTAAATGATATGGTGATTTAAATATAGTATATAAAAATATAACGAGTAACTTTAAAAGGGAAGCTTGTCCGAGAAGGAAAACAAACAAATATTTCTACCGTAAAAGGAAATGAAATAAAGAGGTGACCAGCAACATTAAAACAGGAACAAAACAAATATTTGCTATTTAAGTGATGAGCACGTGGCACTGATTTCATTGATCGCAGTGTTCTGGTTGAGCTCTAATAATGGTCCAGTATTTAGCTGTTTTCTTGTTTTTCTCCTTTTCCGGTGGTTCACTGGGAACAACCACCTCACCTCAGCAACAAAACACCGCAAAGTTAAAAGATTTATGCGAGGTATGAAACAATTATCTGTTTTAGCTGATATTTTTGTGTCTCGGGCAGTGGGTGGAAAAGAAAATCGCATAAAAAAGTTCCACAACTGAGTTTAAATTTGCACAATAGAATGCCAGCTTCGACTCTTCTGTGGTTAAGTCTACGTTTCAAAATTGGCCTCAAAGGTTGGTCTCACGGATTGTTCTGACCTACCCAGTTTTAGACAATTTATTTCGGAGTTTCTCAATAATATACGGGTATCGATAGACAGCCATGTCATGTCAATTGAACTGAGGGCGGAGCTCTCCTTTTTGGCGTTGTTTGTGAAGGTAAGCAGCAAAATGAAATGCGGGAAGACTGAGCTTTGTTTTATAAAGGAATTTCTCTTTTCCACCACAAAACATCTAAATATATCGCTAGCTTTTAAGACTTTTTGGGCTTTAAAAATTTATCAATAACTTATCGTTGTTATTATTAATATCATTGCTGATATTAGTATCGTTATTTTCATTGTTCTTTTTGTTATCATCATTATTTGGTTACGCGTTGATAAAATCCTGTTGGAATCAACTAAAGAGAACTAATAAAGGAGATCGACTTCAATATATTGACTTCTAAGAAACAAGAATTGCTAGCAATGACTGCAATGAATGTAAAATAGTGTTTCTGAGTCCTTATCATGATTCAGTATTTCTCTTGTTTTGTTATTCACTCTGTTTTCTATTCTTGCGTAGAGCAGAGCTGAATACTAATAACGTAAACATTTGAACAACACAAAAGAACCACAACAGATCAACCTTCAAGGAATGTAAAATATAAACACCGATTACCTCAAAATCATGATCAAAGAAAACAATCTAAAGGACTTGGCATGGCTCGCTGGCGCTGAACCAAAATTCTAATTTAATACTTAACACCAGCGACCTTGCAAAAGTGGATACAATCTTAACATTTAACTGAGCTCATCTTGAATAGTTTGCATGTTAGAAACAGAACCAACTTGAGCAAAGGATAATCAATAAAAACGAAGCAACAACTATCTAGCATGTAACATGGTGTCGACGTCTTAAAATTCCTTTTTATTTAAATTACGCATTTTTAAAGTCATATGGTCAGAACAAACAAAACGTACATGTCCATGGGTCTGTGGGAAAATTATCTGATGGTGTAAAGATTAAAAATAGAAACCACACCTATGTTTTGGGCTTGTTTAGCTGGAGCTTGACCAAAATTTTAGTTGACTACTCACACGTACTGATTACCCACTTAACAAGGAGGAAATTATTCAGTAGGTGGCTGAATTAAATATTAAGTTGTTCGAGAAGAAATACAAACAAGGAACAACTTAGTAACTTCAAATAGTAATGCCATAAATGGAAATGCAAATAAGGAGGAAAATATGATTGTAACTAATATTCGCTAGCCAATAAAAGAGCACGAAGTACAGATCACAAAACACAGCTAGTCTCGTAATGCTGCAGCATTTCGCTCTCCCGTTGATGCTTTGTATTTCTTCGGATTTACTGAGAACAGCCACCTTACCTCATACATCTCTTTAGCCTTGATAAAATGTGATTGAATTCCATGAAAGTAAGGGTGACCTGTTTCTGCTAAACCACTTTAAACAGTGAGCTTAGAACAACACAAAGCTTCTAATTCTTAACTTTGTTTTTTTGTCTTAATGACTCCACTTTAAATGGAACAGGGAAAAATATTTAAATATTGACTCGAAGATACAAGAAAATAAGTAAACCAAGAAAATGATTATAAAACGCTCGACAGCTTCTGCGAATGAATGTGTTTTTTTTGTCAGAACCATCCTATCAAACCAGCGATCCAGACCTGATCCCAAATACTTGAATGCAAACAGGTTAAACTGCTCTATTTTTTGCTGCCTTCAGTGGTTACGTTATGGTATATGGAAAAGTTACAAAGACGGAGAAGAGAATATCGATCAATAATTTTATTAGAGTACAAGTATAGTAGAGTGGGATTGCATAAACCCGCGATATTTAAAAGCCGAAAACAACTGTACATGTCCTACTTCCTGTAGTGTACATCGGATAACCCAAATTGGTAACCCAAATTGAATTGGTAGCAGTGCCCTATTAAAAACTGACTCGTTGCCTTAAAAGAGGCATTGTTGTTGAATTTCCATGGTGAAAAGAAAAAAGGAAAAGGAAAGCAAAACAAAAGAAAAACTCGCAAACACAAGCAAACAAAAAAGGCAAGGTAGAAAAGGGTATACAAATAATCCAGGAGTAAGCGCGGTAACCATGTCAGGGAGGCCTTGGTGTGATGGCGGGCTATCTAAGCTTTACTTATGGACTCTTCCCTTTAAATTCACTTTCATCTTTATGAAAAAGGAAAGTGCAAGGAATTCACGCGTATTTAAATGAGAAAGAAGGAAGACTCTTTGGAGTGCATTTTTGATGGACGAAAAAAAGAACGAAAGCAGCTGGTCAGCGGAAAATATTAAAACTCTATTAGTATTCCTTTTCTAGAGAAACTGTAAAAACCTTTGTATAAAGTTTATGTTTTACAAATTTTTACTCACAGTTAAATTTCCTGGACGAGCTGAAATTCTTTCCATTGTCTAAGATTAAAAACGTACAGAAAGAAAGACAAAGGAAAAAAAAATCTGGAATTCTGTTTCTTAGTTTAAAATAAATTATCATTAGTATAATTGCTTCTATCAAAGATGGAATTATAGTTGCTCTAGCTCGGCTACTCTTTGGGTATCTTTTACTCGCAGGCCAGTTTGCTGGTCCTTATTATCTATGCATTTTAAAACAAAGCAACAACAGCCAAGTTCGAGCTTGTTTAGAAACACGACCTACGTACTTAGCAGAGGAAACATGATGAGAAGGTCACGACTTGATATTTTTGGCTTGCTAGCGAATAGAAACTTCCTGTGAAAACAACAATAAACAACAGCTATCAGCGCTATCAAAGTCTTGATGCTCTTGTAATTAAATTACTAAACTCTACTTACGAGCACGTTAACAAAAAACAAAGATGAAGTATTAATTAAGCTTTGAAAATATTTGTACTCAAGAAACGGGCATGGCAGTGATAGTAGACAGTAGCTAGATGCAGAATAACGGTTCTGTCCTTATCAAGGGGAAGTATTTATGCCGATTCCCTAGTAGGAATTTGGGTAGCTCTCATTGAAGTCACAACGGAGATGACACTCGAGTGATGGCATTAATTGGCCACTTGTCTGAGTGGCAGTTTAACTGACTGTCAAACAAAGACGCATTTAAATTAACAGCGATAATACTAAACAAATTGTTATTTTCAGCAATGGTGGGGCTAGAAATTCGCCCAATTGCAAAACTAAATCATAATCGCACAGAATTTCTCCCAACAGATGGCAAAGGGGGACGGAGGGGAGAATGAAAGTAAGAGAGAGCGAATGCAGGAATGTATACAGTTGTAAGCTCCTTTAATAGAGCGATGAAATTGATTGCCTCTTGAAAGAGAGGTTAGGTTGACACGAATCGAATGACAAACTATGCAGCGAGACAACAAAGACATACTACATTGTATCGACATAAATAACATATGATTATGCATTGACATAACGTCTGATTTTAACTGGTTTTGCTGCTATTTATCCGTGTTCTCTTTTTGCTAAGACCTCATTACTTGTGATAAATGCTTAACAACAGAATCTTCAAAGAATATTACTCATCAACTTTGTCAGGTTAAAACTTCCGTGGCTGGCGCTGAATTAAAATTGTAATTTAATAATAATCACCAACCACCTGGAAGGAGGTGCTTTCAAGAGGTTGCAACCTTAAATTTTTTTGCGGGTTAGAACTAAAAAAGAAAACAGGGCATTATCAAGAAAAATGAGGCAACAAATATCGTGCACATAACAAAGTTACTTCAATTGGTTAAAATCACGCATTTGTTTCAGTACGATGTCTATGTTCTGAAACGTTGAAACGTATAATGAGATCGAGTAAAAGAGGTTACTGCAAAAGAAAAATCGAACTCAAACGAAAAGCGCACAGGTAAATGATATGGTTGGTAAATGATATGCTTGTGACTTAAATATATTATATAAAAATATATGAAACTATACCCGCACGTATAACGACTCGCATTAAAAGGGCAGATTGTTCGAGAAGGAAAACAAACAAATAATTCTACCATAAAAGGAAATGAAATAAAGAGGTAACCAGCAACATTAAAACAGGAAGAAAGCAAATTTTTAATATTTACTATTTAACTGATGAGCACGTAGCATTGATTTCAGTAATCGCAGTGTTCTGTTTGAGCTCTAATAATGGTTCAGTATTTCGCTGTTTTCTTGGTTTTCTCTTTTTCTGGCGGTTCACTGGGAACAACCACCTCACCTCAGCAACAAAGCACCGCAAAGATAAAAGATTTATGCGAGGTATGAAACAATTATTCTGTTTTAGCTGACATTTTTGGGTATCGGGCAGGTGGAAAAGAAAATCGCATCAAAAAGGTCTTCAACGGAGTTTATATTGGCACAATAAAAATGCCAGCTTCGTCATAAGGCACCGTGGTCTTCCTGAGCTTTACGATTTATTATTTAGTTTATAAATAACGTAAACCTCAACTTTTCTGTTACCCCAAAGGTTAGTCTTGCGAATTTGTTCTGAACTACCCAGTTTTACAAAATTTATTTCGCAGTTTTTGAATAATAGACGGGTATCGATTGACGGCCGTTTCATGTCAATTGAATTGAGGGCGGTGCCTTTCTTTTTTAGGGTTGCATTGTTTGTAAAGGCAAGCAGCAAAATAAAATGCGGGGATACTTAGCTTTGTTTTAAAAATAATTTTTTCTTTCCACTAAAAACTATCTTAAAATATCATTCCTAGCTTTTTTTGGTTTAAAAAATTTATCATTAATTTATCGTTATTATTATTAATATCATTGCTATTATTGTTATCGTTATTTTCATTACTTTTATTTTTATCATTATTATTTGGTTATATCATCATCATCATCATCATCATCATCATCATCATCATCATCATCATCATTATTATTATCATTATTTTATCATTAACCCTGTAATAATTAACCTAGTCTGAAGAAATTATATTTGACACGAAAACCAAAGCTCCAACTATTGTTAATTTTCACATGACGTCACTAAAATTTTACACAACTATTGATTCTACCGAGATTTTACTTTTATGATGTATTAGAGCAGCTGAAGACTCATTTTCAGAAAAAAACTTTCGCTTCAAAAGGGTTCTTTGTTTTGTGATAGAGTCCGCTTGAATTTCTTATAAGCTTTTGTGCGACGCTGCATATGTCTTTGTAGGTTTAAAAAATTACCTATTTCAGGGAATTTTGCTATCTAAACTGTTCATGTCTTAGAAAAAGTATTACTTAATGTTTATGAGTTCCTCGAGGAATAAATTCACGCTTTTGCAGGAAAACTCGGTAACAGATGTTTCTGTTGGTGTCCGTCCGCCATGTTGGAGCTCATCCAGATGGGCACCAGCATGGCTTCTCCATGCAAATCTCTATAAATTTTGTTAAGACATTTCTTCCGATATCTCGTATATGAAATATTCCTCTGACCTGAATTTTGGCGAGGGTCTTTGCATATTTACCTCCTTTCATTTCCCAGATTCTGGACATTATCTATTGAACGGTTTTGATTTTTTTTAATCTATTTTAAGGTGGCTGAATACAGTTTTTCCCGCGGTCAGCGGTAACTCGCGTGGCGGCGCTGTTTTAAATTAGACAAGCAAACATGGCGGCGAAAAAAGCAGTGGTACAGAGAAGAAGATTTCTAAAAATCTACTCATTAAAAACTTGTGATATTTGGCAGAATTTTTCCTTTTATCGTGTTTTAAATAATGAGAACTTTAAAATGGCAGTTGAACAGACGAATTTGGTGACACATTTAATAATTACAGTACAATTGTATTATTGATCATCTTATAACTTGTCTGTTAAGATTTGGTCAAATAAGTTTCAAATGGTAATGATTAATAATAGTAAGCTGCGTGCAAGTTTATAGGAAAATCTAATGAGCGAACTTTATGTAAACTGAGCAAAAGTGAAATTTTAAGGTTGTATTCAATCGTTCATGTTGCCATGGAAACTACGAAAACGTCACATTTTACCTGTCAATCAAAACCTTTCATCAATGCATTTTTAACTTGCCAAGTTTCAGCTTGTGAGCTGCAACCTTTCTCTTGCCATGATTTGGCAAATAATATATACTCACAAACTGCCAAAACTGTGTTCAGCCACCTTAAATGGCGTGACACTGAAAACCAGCAATTACTTAATTCTGAAACACTTACATTCCTTAGCCCACAGGTAGTCCAAGCTCGAAATATGAGCATCGGCGAGCATCGGCATTGTTGCGCAACATTCAAAATATAAGGATTTGTATGGGAAAAATAAAACAATCGTTTCTGTAACCTACGAAAATGAAAGGATTTCAATAAAAAACAGCTTACCTTACTTAAAATGTGTGTTTCGTCTCTCCTGAGTGGTCCACGGGCCAATTTATGGCCGTTTTATGGGTTTTTATGTGAACGTTTTTCTCTATATATAAAGGTTTACCAAGGTTGGGCACTCCAGCGAAGCGGCTCGACTGATCCACCGAAGGAAAACGGCCGTAAATTCTCTCCAACTGCTCCAATCAATACCCGAGAAAGAAAACAACGGGAGCAAGAGACTGTCTCCCACCCGGAGTGTGAATAATTTGAGTCTCCGGCCGTTTCGTTGTCTTTCGACGGTAACGCGGAGTACATGCCGAGGTTCAGTCGATGGCTTCAGACAGGAAAGGTTGCAGAGAATTGCGACCTTTGATTCGCTCTCGGTGCAAAGGCATCTTGAAGCAAGATAACGAATGGAAAGGAGAACTATCGTTGTCACCAAGGCGGAATTTGGAGGCGATTGGAGCAGTTAGAGCGAATTTATGGCCGTTTTCCTTCAGCGGATCAGCCGCGCCGCTTCGCTGGAGTGCCCAACCTTGGTAAACCTTTATATAGAGAGAAAACAGTTTACATAAAAACCCATAAATCGGCCATAAATCGGCGCGTGAACCACACAGGACAGACGTAACACTCATTTTAAGTAAGGTAAGCTGTTTTTTTATTTAAACATTTTCATTTCCGTAGGTTACAGAAACAAGATGGGTCTTTTTTTTCCCATACAAATCCTTATATTTTGAATGTTACGCAACAATGCCGATGCTCATATTTCGATCTTGGGCTACCTGTGCTTAGCCGAGCAACTTCCCTTCTTAAATCCTTGCATTTTTCCGACTTTTGCTTTTTCAATTATATTTTAACCATTTGGGTGGCTCCCTGAGGGACTACTATAACAATTATATGACACCATCCTTGCTTTTTACCTAAAAACACTATGTCATGCCGACGATGTTCAATGCCGTGATCATCATCATCATCATCATCATCATCATTATTACTATTATTATTTTCTTTGCTTCTTTCTTTATTTTGTTTTGCTTAATGGGATCACTGGGAGTTCATCAAACCGTTTGTCCTGACCGCCATCTTCATCGATATAAGTAGCCTTACTAAAATTATCCTTGATATAAAATTTCTGCTGTGTTATTTATTGAAACTTCCTGTTTCACATGAATTATTATAGGTTTTCATGAATTTGGATTAAAACTTCCCACCGTTCTTCACTACTGAATGAAAACGTACGCTTTCATTCCCGACTGTGGTAATTAATCTCTCAATACCTTACCTCCGTTCGCTGCTATGACAGACTATGGCTGTTCTTTTAATTACACATCTTTACTTTCAGAAATCTACTTTGAGTCATGGTTTTCCAGGCATTCCAGGGTCAAATGGCATGCCGGGAATGCCAGGCGTGCCTGGGCCGCAGGGACCCCAGGGAAGAGAAGGTCCAAAAGGACAAATTGGTGATAAGGGATCGCAAGGAGTGCAGGGTCCAAGAGGAGACAGAGGGCACAGGAATCCAGCCTATGGAATCATATGCGATGATTCATGTGATGATGTAATAGTCCTGTATGCATCATAATGAATCGTAATATGATTTGACAAGTACCCTAAACATCATAATATGATTCCATTGGTATCATAATCATCATTATGATTTCTATAGGACTATTAAAATCATCTCTGGAATCATAACTATGATTTACAGTGCTGTTAATCATTGCTATGATTCCAACAGGACTATTAAAATCATCTCTGGAATCATAACCATGATTTATTGTTCTATTAATCATAGCTATGATTCCAATAGAACTATTAACATCATCTCTGGAATCATAACTATGATTTACAGTGCTGTTAATCATAGCTATGATTCCAACAGGTCTATTAAAATCATCTCTGGAATCATAACCATGATTTATTGTTCTATTAATCATAGCTATGATTCCAACAGAACTATTAAAAGCATCTCTGGAATCATAACCATGATTCATTGTTCTGTTAATCATAGCTATGATTTCAATAGGACAATTAAAATAGTCTCTGGAATCATAACTTTCATTTGCAGATTTATGCACAGGTAGCCCAGGCTCAGTTCTTGAACACTCACTAATACAATGCCATGCAAAAAATACAATGTGGAGTTTGTTCTAGAATCACTTACAATGCTTTTAAAATAGCAAAATACATAGGCATACATGTGAAACTGAACTTGGCCCAGCTCAATAAAGATGTTTCTCTGCTTTTCATGCTATTTCTTTCCAACTGCTTCCAATCAAATTACACATAGAAAACAAATTAAAAAAATTGTGTATTTTTATGGTTTTGAGAAAAAAATATTGATAGCTCTCCAGATCCATTATAATCTATTAAAAACTTAATAAAATGTTTGTTGCATAGAAGTATACAGCATTGTATTATGAGTGTTCAAGCACTGACCTTGAGCTGCCTGTGATAGATGTACACTGTATCAGCCTCAGTCAAGTTGTAAACAGTCCTAAACAGAATAGAGTTGTATGAAAACAATACTACTAGTCAGAAAGCAAATATAATTATTTCTTATGTGGACCTTTATTCACAGACTTTAAAAAGGATAGACAAAGGATATAGAATTTGAAACAAATAAAATTCAATCGTCTGTTAAGTATACAAGCCTCATTCTATAGGCTACAGTGCAAAGTTGGGGCATTTTTAAACGACTTAAAAAGACTTTCTGCCAGGGAATAGCCATTTGCCTACACAAAGGGCAACCAAAGAAAATTTGACATCCTTTTGATTTTGGTCTTAAGTTTTACTTACAGAGAATTTAAAAAAGGCCTTTATTCAAGATTTGGATGACAAATAGAAAAGTTACACATTTGAATCTGTTCATTAAATCAATCATCCATTCTTCTTTATTGGTTGGTTAAGTGAAATTCATGCATCATTTTACAAGGGTAAGCCAAAAGCACTCTCATGTTAAACACATAGTCCACATGTAGTTCAATTCTACTGTTACAGGAATGACAGATGGCTGAACCCTGCTAATTATGACAATAAATCTTTTCTACTTAGTAGTTTGGTTTGCTCAATGACCTTGTGGCTTTGGGCAAAACATGTCATTCCTTTTTTTATTCCAACCCAGACCACTTAACACCAGAGCACAGGCACCTCTAGAGCCAACTAGTGAATTATTAAAGAAAGAACTCAGTTACTCTATGTGTTAAAGCAGTTTAGGCAAAGCTAAGATTCCTCAAGTCACACACAATTACAAGCAGCCCTTAAACTTCAAACTTAAATTAAAAACAAACTAAATAACCATAATTAAGTAAAGGTTTAAAATAGTTAAATGTTAAAATTAACTAAATGTTAAATATTTAAGGCCCTTCAAAGCATAATTATAGCATAATTATTAACCATGATTAAGCCTCCTTCATGTAGGTTTATCTTTCCAAATTTCAAACTCTGGATTTTTACATATATTGGGTAAGCCAAAAGCACCCTAAAGTTAAACACATGGTCCACATGTAGTTAGATTCTACTGTTACAGCAATGACAGATGGTTGACCCCTTCTCATTATGACAATAAATATTTTATACTTACTGTAAATCCTCTAATAAGCCCCCTGGGGGGGGGGACTTATTTTTTTCAAGCACTTTTGAGGGGAGCTTATTTAATTTAGGGAAATGCATCAATGGGAGTAAGGTTTCTCGAGGACGGACTTATGGTTACCGGGCACTATACTGCTTTTTCTAACAATAAGAAAATGGTTACAATTCTCCACAGAGAACTAGAGCAAAAAGTTGAAAAAGTTCAGCACATGAAGTTAGAGGTCATGCGGCCGAAGACCAAAAACAATATGAGTTTCCAGTCTGAATAAACCATAACCTGTCAGTCCACATTAAAATTGTTTGTGAAAAATAAGGATGGAGGGGAGGGGAGGGGGAGGGGGGACTTATTAACTTTCCTCCTCTGAAAAGGGGGGGCTTATTAGAGAGGGGGCTTAATAGAGGATTTACGGTAGTAGTTTGGTTTTCTTGATGACCTTGTGGCTGTGGGCAAAACATGTCATTCCTTTTTTTATTCCACCCTAGGTCACTTAACTCCAAAGCACAGGCACCGCTAGAACCAACTAATGAATTATTAAAGAAAGAACTTACTCTTTGTATTAAAGCAGTTTAGGCAAAGCTAAGATTCTTCAAGTCTCTCACAATTTACAAGCAGTCCTTAAAGCAGTTTAGGCAAAGCTAAGATTCTTCCAGTCTCTCACAATTTACAAGCAGTCCTTAAACTTCAAACTTAAATAAAAACAAACTAAATAACCATAATTAACTAAATGTTAAACCCAAACGAATAACATAATTTTCTGATAAAAAGCCTCTCAAAGCATAATTATAGTATAATTATTAACTATGATTAAGCCTCCTAGGTTTATCTTTCCAAATGTCAAACCCTGGGTTTTTTACAATGAAATGAAATTCCTTTAAAAAATAATTTGCAGAAGTTATGCTTACATGTAAATTACATGAAATTATTTTAACTTTGCAGAACTTGTTAAAAATGACTCAGTAAACAAAAAAAAATTGATCCAGCCATTCTTCTGGTGTAACAGAAATCCCTTTCTGATCAGGTTGTCTATCAAGGGTCGATACTCTCCATCACTGTGGTGCACTCAAAACAAATGAATTAGTCAAGTTAAAACATGCACAGATGAAAACAGTATGTGGTCCTTGGTCTGGACGAAAAAGACGTAAATGAGTATTTCTCTTCTCAGAAGAAGAGTAGTGAGCTGAAATTTGTCCTAAAGTTGCCGTAACATTTTACTAACTTGTGACAAACCGTGCAAATGTGTGTTGTGCAGTTAGGATGCAACATCTTCGAAATTGCCACCATTTTAAATGAATTCAATCAAAATTTAGAGAGAAAGAAAAATTTGTCGTCGCTTATTTACGTCCTCAAGAAAGTTGATAAACTTCCCATCAGGAAATTTTATGTCTTTTATTTTATGTCCACTTTTTGCTTGGCTTATGTAACGTCCAGTGCCTGGATCAAGAACATAGTATGCAAAATTTACTTTGGAATATTATCTATAACTTTAATTTTAAAATTCAACCTGTCAACCGAATTTTTTTGCAAGTTGAAAGAACATTTCTTGTACGCCGTGTACAAACAAAAATTATCTTTCTTAACGCACTTTATCGCATATCCCTGACTTCAAAATATATCCAAGCAATTTAAGGCGCCATAAAAAAGCAAAAATAACAGGACAAAATTCACCTACGTTCTGGTTAACTTAATTTACTCGCCTTTGCTAATATCAGGAAAACCTCCCAAGCTTAAGAAGGCAAACAGATCAATAAACACTCGGAAAGTTTCGTTTGTATTGTAACCTTATTTTCTTCCCGAAAATTATATCACAAAATAATACCGGCCGGATCAAGGACCACATACAGTACATGGTCACGTTTGTTGATTCAACATCACTTAAGTCATGAGATTATGAGGGACAAACGGTGGACTGATCCTCAGTTCATGGACTACTCTGTCTAATCAACGTATACCCATATGGACTACCTTTTAAATAATTTTACTCAGTCATTCGTTTGCAGTGTTTCACACCGGCAAAGAGAATTGCAAAAACGTAAGCTTACTTGAACGCAAGTGTACGTACGTACGCTTCGTACATGACTGGAAGTCACTTCTTTTTCTTTCGTAATGAAAATTACAAATCATCACAATTAAGCTCAATTTACTCCGTATCAAGACACTAAACCAGTGATATATAGAAGACGGAGGCTACAATAATGCTTCAGCTGAATTCAGTTTCAAAACCACGACCAAACGTTGCAGCGAAACGAAACGACCGACATACCGAACTTCAGACAGTCTCAGGGAAAAGAAACGATAAGTAATGATAGCAATACAGTGATAATAATTACCTTTCAAATCAGTCTTTCAGTAAGTGTAGAACTCAAAGGGAATAAAATAACTCCAACAGTCTCCAACACGATCCAACACAATCTTCTCTGGCTATCACGCAAGTATGATGCATGGGTCACTTACGCGACACTTTTGCGTCACTTGCTTTAAACTTGTTGCCTTGGATCCAGTCTTCCATCGTGCAAACTTGACGGTGGGAACGCGGGATTTCGAGCTAATTCTGCAATTTTCTTTTCTTTTCTTTTTTTTATCATGGACGCTATACAGGGAAGGAATTTAAAAGTTGGGCTTGATGAAAATACTGGCCTTACATGTAAACTTGCTGACATTCAAGAGTGGACTCAAGAACTAAACAGGGGCGTAGCTGGGGGGAGGACCTGGGGTGCCCGTGACCCCCCCCACCCCGCTTGGTAGGCCTTCTTTTGAGCAAACAACCTACAATATTCAGGTGGCGAAAACGCCATGACAATATCTTGGCCGTAAAAGCCATTGTTGAAAAGCCCACTTTTTTAAAAGTTATTTTTTTGTAAAGTATTTTTGTCAACGGCTCTTGTCTCTAGTTAATATGGGCCTTCATGCCGCGATAATACTACTGAGCCGGCTGATACACGAGGGAGAGCAGCGGCATAAACCATATATAGTCGGCGATCCCCGGATGGTGATCTGGTGAGTAGCCTCTGTGACCCCCCCTTTGAAAAATCCTGGCTACGCCCATGCTAAACATTTTTTTAATAATGTAATTGCGTGCACAGCGCGCACGCACTGCAAAAAATCGTGACGTCACAACCGTGGCTGTACATTCTCATGCAAAAACACCTCTCAGCAAATCAGAGCACACAGTATCTTACTTTATGATCGGCTTTCTTCCTAGACTTTCGAATAAGCACTTCCTCATATTAATAGAGTGATTAAGCAGCAGAACGGGCATTTGGCGTCGCGAGACGAATGATCAGATCTCTGGCGACTTCCACGCTTGTTTGATCGCTTTGCGGGCTCGCTCCGCTCATGCTTTTAAAAAGTCTCTTGACTTTGCCACGTTTATTAGAAATTAGCTGCTAATTCCAGAGATGATTTTTTTTGTATGCACGTAAAATCAAGTTATGATTCCAGAGATGATGTTATGTGTACACATAAAATTAGTTTATGATTCCATTGATGATGTTATGTGTACACATAAAATCAGGTTATGATTCCAGAGATGATGTTATGTATACACACAAAATCAAGTTATGATTCCAGAGATGACGTTATGTTTACACATAAAATCAGGTTGTGATTCCAGAGATGATGTTATGTGTACACATAAAATCAGGTTATGATTTCAAAGATGATGTTTTGTGTACACATAAAATCAGGTTATGATTCCAGAGATGATGTTATGTATACACATAAAATCATGTTATGATTCCAGCGATGATGTTGTGTGTACACATAAAATCAGGTTATGATTTCATTGATGATGTTATGTGTACACGTAAAATCAGGTTATGATTCCAATGATGATGTTATGTGAACACATAAAATCAGGTTATAATTCTAGAGATGATGTTATGTGTACACCTAAAATCATGTTATGATTCCAGAGATGATGTTATGTGTACACATAAAATCATGTTATGATTCCAGAAATGCTGTTATGTGTACTCATAAAACCATGTTATGATTCCAGAAATGATTCTAAGTGTACACACTGCATCATACCTATGATTGTCACATGATTGTATGTGCTCAGTTAGCAGCATAGTTATGATTTGTTATGATTTGTAGAGTGCTATGACATCATCACATGAATCATCACATATGATTCCATAGACCGAATTCCTGTGGGGCGCGAAGGGCCTCCCGGGAAGAGCGGACCGCCAGGAATTACGGGAACAAAAGGTGAATCGGGTCTTGTAGGAATGAAAGGAGAGCAAGGCATTGTGGGAAATCAAGGAAGAAAAGGAGACAAAGGAGACAAAGGAGAAAGCGCCAAAGCAAGTCAAGCAAGCGTAGTACCACAAACCAACTGGAAACAATGTGTGTGGAAATCCAACAGCGAGACTGATAACGGAAAGATTAAGGTAAGCAAGAAATATGCTAAATGATTTCTATAGATCACAAGAAAAGTACACGATCTCATTCGATAGAAAAAGGAAGAAAATGTAAGATTTTGCTTCAGTTAATTTGGAGTCAAATAAATTGCTCTGAGAAGATAAATCTCCTTCCCCTTCCCGTGATCATCACTCCGTTTAACCTCCGAATCAGGTTGATAATTATTTCCTTTCCCATTTAGTAAATAAATACAATAATAGAGGCGTTACTAAGTAGATTTTGATTGTTTTCCAGGAGTGTGCTTTTAACAAATTTAAGTCCGGTTCAGCGCTCAAGGTCTCATTCCATGGAAACATGCGGGTCTCTGGTGATACTAAGTGTAATCGGTGGTATTTCAAGTTCAATGGAAACGAATGTAGTGGACCAATGACGATTGAGGCTGCTGTTTACAACAACTGGACATCAGGGAACCATAATCTGTTGCATCATCGGTCATTTGAAGGATACTGTGAAAACATTCCACAAGGGGCAGTTAGAGTGGAATTATGGGTAGGAAAGTGTAGTGGTGGTCACGCCCTTGGTGACGCTTACACCGGATGGCAGTCAGTGTCCCGGTTAATGATTGAAGAAGTATCTAGGCCCCAGTCATAGTCCTCCCCAGTCTTTGACGAGGTTTTTTTTATTTTATTTTCTTTGATGTTTCTTCTACAGTCGCCGGACGCCAGTGTCCAAGGTTTGCAAGGTCTCTGCTTGTGTAATTCGCATTGTCATATTAAAAATATTACTGATAAAAACTATATCATGATCGGTTTTTTTGTAACAAGTTCAGGCTATTCTTGGCTATTTCTTGAGATCGACCATTTTCTTTGACTTAGAATATTTCGTTTATGTGAAAAAAAAAGAAGCCTTTAATATTAAGCTAAGGCCACCCCTTCTAGAAAAATAAAATAAAATTGTGGCTCTCTAACTAGTTTAAGAAGCAGTGTTAGTTCTCCGCTCAGTCACGCAGTTTAAAACAGATTTTGGGACTTATCAACTCTGGACGTATACAATAACCCGGAGGGACTGATGCTTGTTCGATATAGGTGTGGCTTAATTAGTCGTCATATCAAAAGAAAAGTTGGGAAGAAATGAGATTAGATCAAAAGAGGAGAAGGAAACCTAAACTTCGCCATTGTGGTGATCATGATACTCTATTTCCGGGTCACGCAAAAAAATAAGGAAGAAATTGCCCACTAGTAACATAGCAAAAGGTAAGAAGTTAAAAAATAGTTTAAGCAAAACTTGAGTATTCTTCTATTCACAGTTGTATCAGTTAAAAGAAATAGGACTTTACTTTTCTCTCTTTCTTGTAACAGAGAGGCTTTGTTATTGTTATTTTTAATTGTGTTAGTGCGTTGGCTTCAAATGTACAGCAGGCTTTTAGCAAAACAAGAAATGTATGCACATGTTAGTTTGTTACTTCTACCGAAAGCCAAATGAGGTTCAAATTTCCGCCTCTCTGAATGCGATGAAATTTTAGAAACATACTTCCCTTCCACACCCTATTCGTTATCGCATGCCCAAATTCTCTTGTTACGCAGGCTATAAATTAGCAGAGGGAATTTTGACAAAGTTACCCTAGTGGGTGCTAGAGATTTCTTTTGTTGTTGTTTTTTCAAACGGGTTTCATCCAAGGCATTTCGAAAAGGCATTCTGGAGCCATGGCGTGAGAAGGTCCAAACGGATATTTTTTTGTGTGTGTGGTAACAGGGAAAAATTTACAAGGCACATTTAAAAGACGGCAAAACACAAAGCAACAGCTTTTAAAACTATCAAAAGCTTGATGATTTTGATGTTAAATTACGTATAAATTAACTCCATCGCCTTTTTCAGTTCCCAGCTTCAATGCCTGCACGTGAATATAGAAACTGACCTTTACGAACCAGGGACAAGAAATTCTAGATTAACTAATAATTAGTTCACTTTCACAAATGAGATTAATTAGCATTATAGCATTTAACGTATAATAATATTTCAGTCCTTATGACAATACAGTATGATTTCGATTGTTTTGTTAATTCTCTATTTCTCTCCCTGCGCGCACTGTTCATTACTTCAACTACTACTCCTCAAAAACAGAAGCCGGGCAACGAAAGCGATCAACCTTCAGGGGAGGTAATGATCACGTCACTCTGGACTTGTTTAGCTAGCGTCTGAATCAACAATTCTAATTTAACTGATACCTTACCACTACTAATCTAGAAGTGGTTGCACGCCAAAAATGCAAGGTGACCTTAAAGTTTTTGGTCTGTTAGAAACAATAGAAAACAAAGTGTGTCACAGCCGATATTTCAATGTTTTCTTTAGAACGGAACTCAGTTTCATCAGAGCGTTTCTGTAGCAATTCTGCACTACTCAGCAAATCTAGTTTTAACTCTTTCGTATCTTTCTAAAACTCCGCAGCTGAAATGAGCGTATTATTCAAATACAAAATAGTAGGCAGTGACATGTGTACAAATATTGGAACATCTGACATGTAAGTTCAATAGAACAAGTGACGTACTTCTGTACGTGTCTCTTTGTTAGACAAGAGCTATTTTACACTTCAAAAGAACAACTGTTGTGCTCTATTCATTCAGCTTGATCTACAACATGTGCTTTTCTAAAAGTCCAGGAACCGAAATAGGAAGTATCGTATTTTCACCATAAAGGAAAAGTATTTTAACCAATCGAATTGTAACGCGTTGAACAGCTAGCAAGTGTATTTTCGAATAGGTTTTTGTGTTCCTTTGTGATAATCGAACACCTGTGTTTACTATAGACTGTATAAAAGTACACTGTAGTGCTTAAACTGTGGTAAATCGATTACCTGCGATTATTACCTACGATTACATGTGAAATGCTATCTAAGAGGTTTAGTCTACAATAAAGAAGTTGCAGCATTACAGAAAAGTCTCAGTTCTTGTTCAGCTTTCGTACCTTGGGACGTGGAAATTAGACCCTGTACCTCTGGCAGTAGTAACGAGTGCCAGCAGCGAGCCAGCCGCTCTACCGAATTGCAGTTTCCCCCGTCAATAACTTCCATTAGCAGATCACTATTTGCTAATTCTCGCGCCCTCGCGAAAAGCTTTAGTTCCGTTGTTTTCCTAGGTCGACTTTCCCGCCAATTTGGTTTGACAGGCCGAAAAGCCGCTGGACGCAGTTAATTTCCTCTCGTTACAGGTGTGTCCAGAGAAACAAAAGCAACATCTGTTATCATAAAACATAGTGCCGAATTCTAAAGTTAAAATTACATAGTTGTTGATATAATCAGACACGAAAAGAACCTAAGGGTTACTTCAAAGAAGCACGAAACAAACAAAGCGTGCGATTCCTTACTGATACACTGTACATACGTATGTAGTTAAACATATGACGGCGATTTGAAGCGGAGCTTTGTTAAAACAATCATGAGGGATCGTGAAGCGTTGTTAAGAGTGAGGTAGGGGTAGATGGGGGGCTGAACCGAGGCCGTAAGCAACAACTACGGTCATAGCTTGTTATTCCCCAGACATGTTCTCCAGAAAACAAATGAATTAGGAAATTGAAGCCTTCTGAAATAGAGCTTGAAGACCCTTATTCTCCTAATAAGTATGCAGAGAATTTTAATCATTAATTGCCGCTATAGCTAGTTTTTATGTGTAATTCAGAAAAGAGTGGTAGGTGAATATCAAATGTAAATTACGTGAATATGGAATTAAATTGGCAGTGGACGTTGCTAGAAAATGTTAGTAGGTTTCTTCTTGTATGTAACACTGACAGGATTGGTCAGAATTTCCGAAATAAGGAATCTGCCTTGTTAATTTTGTTCCTTATCAGCTTAATCACTTAGACAGAAAGCTAAATCGGTTGAGAAATGTATAATCTGCATCGTTTTATATCGATTGGAAATGATCCAGTCCATAGCCAAGGGGGTAAAAATCCTTACGACGAAATCAAGCAGATAGTTTTCAGGGCCCGGTTCCTCGAAAGGTGGTTAAGTTTAACCCAGGATTAAGCCAAATTTTAAGCAAGGTTTTCTTGTCTAAGAAAAAGTTACTCGAGCTTACAAAATACTTTTTTGCCTTTACTTCAAGATTCAGTGATGATAGCACAAAATGTTACTCTAAGCAAAGCATAGGAAGCTAAATACAAAAATAGACCCCATTGTTTTTCCTGGATTAGCGCTAATCGGCCTTTGAGGAACCGGGGCCAGGATAGTATATAGTCTTCAGAATAGTTAGAATGGCATAGTTTAAAAATGCTCCCGACGGCCCTTGATGTGTCCGTTGTCGCGTAACCTTGATTTAACTGTCTAAGGAAAACAGAGGGGAATGTCAGGCATTTCGCGGGATTATTTTAAAACAGGCAAGGAAAATGAATCATCTCAAAATTGAAAGACAGGTCAACAAGTTTTTGAAATATAAGTGAATCAAGAAATTTAAAGTAAAGAAGGGTAAAGAATAATTTTAATGAAATAAAACTGTATTGATTATTTTAATGAAATGAGCTATTTTTTAGGTCTTAAGTTCCTCCCGGCCCTACCCCTTTCGAGATCCTAATTATAGTTTTAGTACTTACATGACTGTATAACGATCTACTTAAAAGGGCCTAGGGGAGGGTTTTAAGAGGTCACTGCATTAAACTCTGACAATTCATGCAGTTGTCCCGAAAAGAAAAATAAATACACACTCACACAAACTCAGTCTGAATGTAAAAATTACAACCATAAAAGGTACATTTTGTAATAAAATTAAAAAGAAACCAATAAAGATTATAGAAATCATCCGTACAATATTTGCCAGATTTAACTGATGAGCAAGTTGCACTGACTTCAATAATCACAGTGCGCTGATTTCGCCATTCACGGCCACGATGAAATATTTTACCGATTTTTTGATTCTCTGTATTTTTGGAAGTTCACTCAGATACAACCACCTCACCGCAGCAGCGATGAAAACACCTCAAACTTGAAATACTTGTCAGGTATGCACATGCATTTATTGGTTTCAAGCACTAGGAAACATCGCATGAACGCCCCTGCTACGGAGTCGATACGGAGTGTAAGCCACCATCAAAATGCATGCTTTGCAGGCAGTCGTACCTTATCAAGTCCTTTAGATTTCTGTGTGTTTCGTTAAGTCTCTTGTTATTGTTGTTTAACTTTTATGATCGTGTCTGCAAGGGTTTATAAAATTCGCTCCGAATTTTTCTCACCAGCCTGTCACCAATCTTTTGTCACTGAACCGCAGTTTGTCTCACGATAAAGCACAGTCATTGATAGGTGTCGTGCCATTTCAGTCGAGTTAAATATAGAGCTGTAGTTTTCATCTTTTAAGTATCATTGTGCGTATTTAACCCGCGATTTGTAAAAACTTTAGATATTGAGATTTCTAATTTTTTACTCTTTTTTTGTGTAAAAATAATAATATTTCAGTCCTTATGACGATACAGTATTTCGCTTTTTTTGTTAGTTATCTGCTGTTTCTCTCCCTAGGCGCGCTGTTCATTAATTCAATTGACTATCGCCCCATGTAATCGAGTCCAAAACAGTCTTGGATTCTGGATTCCACGCCATGGATTCCTGATTCCAGGTACTGGATTCCAGTCTTTGTCCCTGGCACTTGGATTCTGGATTCTAATTGTTGGTG